GAATATAGATTAACATATATATATATATATATATGATAAATATAAAAATAAATAAAAAAGTTTAAAATAGTATATAAAACTATATTAAAATGATAAGAAATATAAATTAAAATAAAATAAATATTAAATGTTATAGTATTTTAATATTTTAAATTAATTTTAATAAAATTAAAAAAAATTAAAAAATAAATAAAAGATATATATATATTTAATTAAGTTAATAATTTAATGAATTACAATATATATTTCAAATTATAATTAAAAAAAAATATATAAAATATATATATATATATTTATTTAAAAAAATAAATTAAAAATAAATATATTATATTATTTATTAATTATTTAATAACGTTTAATTAATTTATATGAAAATTATTTATTAAGAAAATTATTTAATAAAATACTGTATTTTTATTTAAATAATTTAATAATTTTTTTATATCTTATTTTTATTAAAATTTAACTATAAAAATAAATAAAAAAATATATACTTAATTTAATATATAATATTTAAATTTAAAATTAATATGATTAAATTTTTTATTAATTATATGAGTATTTTAATCCTAATCTCGTTATAATATGATTAATAATATGTTTTAAAATAATAATTTTAAATTAGTTTTTTATAAAATAAAATTCTTGTTTGTTTATATTCAATAAAAAAAGCATAACCATTAATTAATATATATTTCGGATATTTATCATATATTATAATAACTAATAACAAAAATAATTTTATTAATTACATTTTTTTAAAAAAAAAAAATATTAAATAAATAAAAGCCAAATAAAATTCAATAAAATAAAAATATGGAAAAGGATAAATTAGAATTATTTAATAAATATAAATACATGGAAGGATTTTTAGATAAAAAAAGTCCTAAAATATTTGTAGGATATTAAAAAAGATATTTTATTGTAAGAGATAATGGATAATATATTGCTTATTTTAAAAACAAACCAAAAAAGACGACCAACCATCTGGTATTATTCCTATAGATTCGATTAAAATATAAATTTAATCAAATGTTACTTTCCTAATATAATTTTCAGACAGAGATTTTGTTCTAAAAGCAAGTAGTAATCAAGAACTTCTTGAATGGACTAATTGTTTAAATTTTCTTAAGTAATACAATATTGAATAATCTTAACCATAAGATAGAGCAAAATCATGGAAGTTTTAAGTTAAAAAAATAATAATTAATATTAATATTTTTATTTTTTATTTAAAAAAAAAAATTAAAAAAAATAAACTATAAAATATATATTATTTAGTTTATCTATTTATTACATTTATATATTAAAAAAAAAATAGTCTTTAGATAGTGAAACTAAAAACAGAATATAAATCGAAACAGAAAAAAAAACAGAAGCCTACAACGAATAATTAGTTCAAGAATAAAATGAAAAAATGCAAAAAGCAAAAGGCATACATTAATACTTATAGAACATAAATAAAGATCAAATAATTTAAGGCTTTTTATTAAAAAAGAAATAAAATATTGTTGATAAATTATAAAAGGCGAAATCTAGATGGCTTATATTAATAATTGAAGGTATAAAAAATAATAATAATAATATTTAAGATTTATTACCTCCCTTTATGAATTTGAATACGATTTATTATTATGATTCTAAGGAAAATAATTCAAAATAAATAGGAGAAATTAATGTTTAAGATGTCAAAGAAGTATAATAACATGAACTTTAGATTGCTGATAACAATATAATAAAAAATATTTTAGGAATAGGATATAATTACGGATTTTATGTGAATATTAATAAGAAAGGGAAGGAAATTTAATATAATTTTTACTCAGAATCGCTTTCTTAAGTAGATAATTGGGTAAAGTCCATATCTAGAGCTATGGATAAGATTAATTCATAAAATAGTAATGATTAAAAAAGTATATAATAATAAAGAGATGAAGTGATTTTCGAATAATAAGTAAAAGTAAAAGAAAATTCAAACATAGGGGGACAAATTTGGAACACGAAATAATTTGTTTTAAAACGTTAAATATTGTCTTGGTATAAATTAGAAGGTAAAAACTAGTCTGTTCCTGAAAATTATATTGTTTTGAATAATATTAAATCGTGTGAATATTCAGAAAAACCTAGATGTTTTGTTATTTATGTAAACGATGGTGAAGAAGAAAGTTCATTTTAATTTAAAGCGGATAATTAGTAGTTTAGAAATGCTTGGGTGGGAGCTATTAATAAATTAAGGGAATATTAATTTGCAAGTATAGAAGAAATAGTCAAAATAGAATAAATTCCGGCTACTAATTAGGAACTAATTAACTTGAGTTAAAATAATAATACTGATAATGGGATATAAAATTATATCTAAGAGAAAAAAGATAGTGAAGATATCAAAAATAGATACTTTTTGGCTTAATAGAATATTTAAAAAAATAAAATAACAAGATAATATAGTTCAGGCTACAGTTAATAAAAAAGGGGGTTTATGGATTGTTGTCTTTTCTGGAAAAATTGATAAAAATAATTATTAGATTATTATAGATATATATAAAATAAATAATTTATATTTTTTTAAAAATAAATAAATATATAAATAATAAATAATTTAATAAAGTTTCAAAAAAAAAAAAAAAAAAAAAATGAATTATTTGGATAGAGTGGAACCTGTTGTAAAAGCATTTGATATGACAGAAGAAATGGTTAGAGATGTAAAAGAAGTTTCGAAAAAAGCAATTGATTATTGCAATACAGATAAAGAAATTGCAACATTTATTAAAGACGATTTTAGATCAAGATATCATGGAACATGGCATTGTGTTGTAGGTAGAAATTTTGCAAGCTATGTAACTTTTGAGCGCAGTTATTATATTTATCTTTATATTGGATAATTAGCTATATTGTTGTTCAAAACTGGCTGATATATTATTAACAAGAGATTTTGTATTTATTAAATGAATTTAATAATAAAAAAAACTTACTGAGATATGAATTTAAATATAAAAAATATATAAATATATATATATATATATATATATATATATATATATATATATATATATATATATATATATATATATATAATTTTATTTTTCAAATATTTTTATTTTTTATTTTTATTTATATTATTAGAAACAAATATAAATTTAATTAAAGAAATAATTAATAAATCTTAAGATAAATAAAAAATTAATATATATTTTATAACTTAAATAAAACAAAAAAATTTTAATAATATTCTTTTTTCATTTAGCAAGTGGCATACCAGCAACTTCAAAGTGAGCATGTACTTTGTTAATAGCATTGACATAAGTAGCAATTCTCAATGAACATCCTAATTCTAAGCAAGTATGTTTAGTTTCTTAAACAGCAACAGACATAACTTCTTCTAAACCACTATAAACTATATCTTTCTATATAATATAGAACAATATAAATACAAATATATATATATATATATATATATATATATATATATATATATATATATTATATATATATATATATATATAATTACATCTGTTGCTCCTCTTAATTATTCTTAATGTTTTTTTTCTAAGTCTCTTAATTTTAAACCAGTAATATCAGATATAACGTTTAGCAAATTAATTTTAGATTTCTCTTCCCATTTACGAGTTAATCTTCCAGGTCTCATGTGATCGAGGTTTTTTAACCATTCGAAATAGCTTACAGTAACACCACCTGCATTTATAAGGATATCAGGGAAGAAAATAATTCCTTTTTTTGTCAATATTTCTTCTGCAGCAATTGTAGTTGGGCCATTAGCTGCTTCAGAAATAACTTTACATTTGAATTTATCAGCATTGTTTTTATTTACAGTTTATTCAAAAGCAGCAGGAATGAAAACATCACATTCTTTAAATATAGCATCTTCATTTTCAAAATATTCTTCAACTCGAGGATATCCTTTTATGCCACCTTTTTATAGCTTATATTCATATAAATCTTAAATATTTATTCCTTTAGAATTATATATGGAACCATCCCATTCAGCTATACCTGTTATTATACCACCGTATTCAGAAATGAACTTAGCAGCCCAATAACCGACATTACCGAACCCTTAAATTATGAATGTCTTTCCTTTCATTCCTGGTTCAATTCCGAATTTTTTCATTAATGGTTAATCGTTAAGGAGATCTCTTGTACCATAGAATACCTTTTTAAATATCATAACTTTTTTTATATAAATATTTTTTTTTTTACTCCTAATCCTGTAGATTCAGTTCTACCACGAATACCACCTTAGTTGAGTGCTTTTCCTGTTACACATCCGTGAGCGTTAATATCTTTATGTCCGAAGAAACTTTAAAAAAAAAAAAAATATAAAATAAAATAAAATAATTTAATATAAAAAATATAAATAAAATAATAAAAAAAAATATTAATAATAATAATAATAATAATAATAATAATAATAATTATAAGTAAAATATTTTTAATATATTTTTTTATTAATATTTATTAATATTATTTACTATATATTTTTATAAAAAAAAGGTACATATATCACATTATAATATTAAAAGTATTAAAATTTCCATATATGTATTTTAATAAATTTTTAAATTTTTATTTACGTTTAATAAGTGTCTTTCATCCAAGACATTTCTCGTTCACCAGTTCCTAAATCAGGTCCAGGAACATCAATAGCAGCTCCAATGAATCCTTTTTTGGCTAATTCTAATGTATATCTTCTTGTCAAAGATTCGATTTCTCTTGCTGAATATAACTTAGGGTTAAAAGCAATACCTCCTTTTGCACCACCATAGGGAAGATTTACAACAGCGCATTTCAAAGTCATCAAACAAGACAACGCTTCGACTTCTTAGATATTAATGTGAGTAGAAAAACGAGTACCACCCTTAGTAGGAAGTCTATGTAATTTATGTTAAGCACGATAGGCTTCTATAGATTCTATTTTTCCGTCATCTCTTACTAAAGGAATTGTAAATTTAACAACACAATCGGACTTTTTTTAATTTAATTTGATTTAATTAATTATTTTTACTTTTTTATAATATGTGAGCTTGTCAATAGGGATAAGGGTGTAAGATGCAGCTTAATCAAAGTATTAATGGACCATCTCTAAAAATTTAGGCTCTCCTTATAATGAGGAAGAGAAATATTTGTTTACAGATTTTTTTATTACGCTTGTAATCATATTTTTTATATTGGGATTTTTTATCTAAATTAGTTTTTTTTTATTTAATTTAATTTTATTTTTTTTAATTAGTTTTTATGTTTATTTTTTTCCTTTAGCAATTTTCTATTTAAATATAAAAATAAAAAAGTATATCTATTCATTTCATTTTGATCTACGCGTATTATCTTTTAACAAAAAATAAAAACTACGTAATTTTTATATTAACTCTTGAAAAATAATTAATTTAATAATTATTAAAATATTATAATTTTATTTATTATTCTTATTATTATAAAAAATATATATTAATGATTTAAATCAAAAACCTAAACCTAACAACGACATACAAACTGTTAAATATAAAATATTCTTAAAAATATAAATTACGATATATTTAAAATATTTTTTTAGAAATTAAAAAACAAAAATAAAAGATGAAAAAATATTAAAAATAAAGCATTAAAAAAATTGCTAAGACAAAATGTCTTAAATTTAATATTTATTAAAAAAATAAACCATAATTATTTTTAATTTTAATATACAATAATTTTATTTTATTATTATTTCTGATTTTATTAAAAATATATAATATTTTATTTTGTTTCAATTAATTAAATTTATATATTCAAATGATATTTTATTATATTATTATATAGTTAAAAAATAAATATAACTTTATCCATAAAAAAAAAATTATTAATATTTATATATATAAACAAAAAACATATATAATATTTTAATTTAAAATAATAATGAATTTCTTAATAAATTTTATTTTTATAATTTATAAGAAAAATACATAAAATATATTTTATATTAAAATAAATATATACATAAATAGGTTAAAAATTAATTATAGTTAAATAGAATATTGATTTCTTAAGAATACAATTCATATTTAAAATATTTTTTTAGTATTAATTTTAAATAATTATTAATAACATAATAAAAAATAATATATCTAAAAAAGAAAAAATTAAAATAATTTTTTTTTTTATATTTAATAATATTTTACGTTTTTTAATAATTTATTAAAGAATATTTAAAAAACAATTAAAATATTTATGACTTTTTGTTATATATTATAATTAGATTTTTTAAAATATTTCTTTTACTTTTATTTTATCTTTTAAATAAAATTTACTTATTTATATGTTTATTAAGCTTTGCTTTATTTTATTTTAAAACTTAAAATAAATATTTTGAGGAAATAAAAAGATTTTAATTTAATATTATTAAATATTTTTAAATATAAATTATTAAAAGTTTTACAAATAATGATAAATATTATAAATTAAGAAATAATTTATTATAAAGCTTATTTTTATTAATATTTAAAAAATATAATATTTATTTATTATATATGTATGTTCCTTTTTATATATTAGCTTTATTTAATATTGATTTATAATAAAATTATGATAACTATTTTTTGGTTTTTATTTTAATTTTTTATTTTAAAATAAATTATTTTTTTAATAAAAAAATAACTAATTTTTAATTATTGAGTTTATTAATCTTATATTAATTTAAATAAAAATTGGTGTATATTCTTTTATTATTTTTAGAAGTAATAAGAAAAAGTTTTATATTAAAATTAATATTTAATAGAATATCAAATGCAAATACATAGTTTAAGATTTTGTTATTAAAGTATTTAATTTAATTACAGAGTAAATAACTATTAAATAACTTTAATTTATATAAGTTATCTATATTTCTAAAAAGCAATAATATTTATAAAAAATCAATAATGTTTTTTTTTTCATATTCAGGTTCTGTATAAACAATCCTATTAAACTAAAGTAAATTAATATTTTATTTTTTTCCTTAATAATACTACCTTTATATTCCAAATTATCACAAGTTTTTATTTCCTCCTATTCTTAAACTTTAGAAAAGTACGATTTTTTAAAATTGCTATCAATATTTCTTGGTAGAGTATTCGGTGAATTTTATACACTATTAAACTACTTAGGTTCGCTATTATTTTTAAGAATAGAACATAAAGTAATAGAATAAAAATTATTCTTATTAGGCGAGTATAAATGCTTTGGAGCATTACAATAGGAATTTTCACTTAAAATTTTATTGCTTTATTTACAAATCCATTCACATATATATTCTAATGTTTTTTGATTTCTACATTCATTATGTTCTCCATTTATATAATAAATCTATTTTTAACCATTATACCTATTATATAAAAGTTCCACATGTTTAAAGTCTACAAAAGTATCATCCTTAGAACACAAAAACATACAAGGAAAATATAAATTATGTATATTTCTAGATATATCCATATTTTCAATGTCTAGATTGACTATCTCCTTTAATTATTTATTGATATAAGATAATGCAGTGTCTATTAAAAAGCCAGGCATACCCGTTTTTTTTTTTGCAACATCTTATGCTAAAATTTTTAAACTAGCAAATCCACTATCAAAAACTAATCCTCTAATAAACTTAGTACATTTTAAATTACTTGAATATAAAATTATAGTTGCGGCTCCCATACTTCTACCCCATAAGTATACTCCTTATATTTATTTTAAATTTTATTAAATATAATTTACAATAGAATTTAAATCTTATTATTCGTTCTTACCTAATGTAACATAATCTCCCTCTGAAATGCCACTTCCGGAAAAATCAAAGCAAAACAAACCCAAGCCTTTTTATATTAAATAGGGTAAAATAGGTAAGGCTTCCAGTCTTGAACCGGAGTTACAATGACAGTAAATTACACAATCGTAAAGTTCGAGTAATTCTTCAGGGTTTTGCTTTTGAAAAGGTTAGAAGAGCGAACATTGAAGTTATTGATTTTTCATGTTTATTATTTATATATCGGTTCTTTTAGTTTTTTAATTGCCAAATATTTATTAGTCAGGACCGAGGTCGAATATTGTATACTCCTATCGAGAAGGTCGAATAAACGTTTTATATAATTAATTAAATTAGAGTATCATTTATTATTATGTGTTTTAACTTTTTAATAATTTTTTTGTTTTCTACAAGTTTTTTTTATATTGAAAATTTAATGTGTTTATTGTTTTTTTCTATTATATAAATATATTTTTTTTAATTTAAGCAAATTAAATATAAAATAGATAAAATTTAATTCATGATTTTTATTTATACAAAGTAATTTATTATTATTTTTCACATATGAATTTGATAATTTTTTTAAATATATAATAGGTAAATGAATAATAATAAAATATTAAAGTTATTATTATAAAGTAAAAAATTAAATTAATAGAATAAACAATATAATTAATACATAATTTATTTCAATTTAATATATTTGATAAATTAATAAAAATATATCCAAAATAAATAATAATATAATTAATATAAATAAATAATTTATTAATAAAATTTTAATATATTTTTAATTTTTTTTATTCTAATAGACAATTAAGAATTATTATTATTATTATTAAGTAATCTATATTTGAATTTATAAATTAGAATCATCAAGGCATATATATTATTCATTATCAATTTTAATTTAAGTATTCGATATATTATTTTTAAGATTTAACTTAATTATTTATCTATAAAAAAGTATAAGGCATATGCATTTTATTTTTCTTGCATAAATTAATATACTCATATTGAGATTATATATATAACTTTTTAATAAAAGAAAAAAAAAATCTATCATCTAAGCATCTAAATTAAAATTGGAATATTTCAATTATAATTGAAATTCTATTAAAAATCTTAAAACTATATTATAAATTTAATAGATAAATAGTTTCCCATATAATGCATATCTAATTAGATTCTTATGAAATTTTATAGATTTCTATAGATATGAAATTCAAAAACTCGCTCACATATCTGCTTTAATTTAAACAATATTAAATTTGATTTGAATATTATAAATTATAAAAACTTCAAGTATATATTTATTATTCCTTTTATAAATAAATATATACAAAAATTTTATTTGTTATTATTTAATAATTCTTAAATTTATGTTTATCAATGTTTTATTTAATAAGTTTTTTTATAGTATAATTATTCATTTATATAATATTTAAATTACTCATTAAAATGTCAAATAAATTGAAGTAAACCATTAGTAAATAAATTAATTTTTTTGTCTAATTATTATTTATTTTTTATTAATTTAGTCCATAAACAGCCTGTAACATAGCGAAACTAAATAAAAGATAAAATTTTCCTTAATAGCAAAAGTTACATATATGAATATTAAAATTAAAGAAAGAAATTTTGTTGCATAAAAATCTTATTAATTTTATATAAATATCAATTCAATTTTATAATTTTAAATATTTCTTTTTAAATAATATTTTTATTTTGAATAAAATTAAAAACTATTAAAAAAATCTTTAATTTGAAAAAAGTTACTTTAATTAATTTTAATATTGAAAATAAATAAAGAAAATTTGAGGATATTTTTTATTAATTATATGATATTAGATAAATTTTATTTTAAGTAAAATATATTATAAATAAAATAATTATTCAAAACAAAAAAAAGTGTAGAGATATAATATATATGTTAATAATTAATAGCAAAATATTTAATTAATATATATATAAAATTAAATCAAATATAATTTTTTTTAATACATAAATTATATTTATTTTTAAAAAGAAATATAACTATAGATGTTATATCAATATTTGTTAGAGTGTATTTTTTGGTTTCTCAATATTTAATATGTATTTTAAAATATTATTTATTATTTAAACATTTATGATATATTTTAAATTTATGTGTTTTTTTAATAATTGTATAAAAATATACTAATTGTAATATTATGTATTATGTTTTAAATAAAAATGTAAATTTAATAAATTCGTAATAAACTAAATAATTAAAGTTTTTATAAAAACAAAATGTATGAATTTATATATATATATACTTTATAAAGGTAAATAATATAAATATTATAATATATAAATATTTAAATATTTATATATATATATATATTATAATATATTTATTTATTTATTATTTTTTAATAATTATATTATTTTCTATATTTAATTCTTATTAAAATATAAAATAATTTTAATTATTCTAGAAATATAATATATTTAAGCAAATTTTAAAATTAAATTTAATTAAAAAAAAAGCATTAAAAGTTATAAAATAATAACATTTGTATTATTCTAAAAAAACAAAAGAAATTATTATTTATATACTTTATATAAGTATCTTTGTTACAATTAAATCAAATAAAAAAATTTTAAAACTAATAAAATATGTAAAAATAATCTATACTATCCTTAATATTTTTCCTTTTATTAATATAATTTAATGCCGAAGTAACAAAAATAACGATTTTTTCCGATGTAGTAAAAAATCTTAAATAAAATCCTAATTCACTTATAACTTTAATGGTAACTCGTTTAAAAGAATGCGATAGATGTAAAATAGGTAATGAAGTCTTACATTAATACGCCGAATTAACTGACGGTATAGTCCTTACATATTTGCTTGATTGTGAAAAAATATGGGAAGTAGAATAAGATAGAGTCCGTATTCCTGCCTGTGACCCTATAAGAAGACAAGAATTACCAAATTTGACATTTTTCTAACCCGATTATAGCGAATTGGATATATATAATAAAAAGAACAAAAAAATACACAAAGATATACCGTATTAAGGTGTTTTTAGTCCTGATGCTCTTATATAAAGAACTAAGGAATTAATACCTTTTTTTTAAAAGATGTCTCTAATATGAAAGAATTGAATTAATTTTTGGATAATAAGAATATTCCAATAAAAGCTCTTCTTTTAAACGACGAAGAATATCCTCCTTTATATTTTAAATCTTTAAGCAGTGTATATAGAGGATAAGTTGATGTAAAAAGTTTTTAAAAAAATAAAGCATATATTTAATTTTTTTATTTAAAAAATAAAATAAAAATTAGTTTGCTTGTGTAGATGGTGATAATAAAAAAATAAGAAATAAATATGGAGTCAAAGATATACCAAAGTTAATTGTTTTGAAATTATAAGAGGATAATTAGAAATATTAGGTTAATATTTTTGATGGTGAATTGAACATTAGAGAAACTAAGGAATTTATTAAAAAATATACTGACGAGATTGAGTCTTCTAAAAAAAAAGATAATAAATAAAAAGGAATTTATTATGATATTAGTGAAGAAATAGAAATTTTGAATATTTAATCAAATTAAATAGGTAATATAGTGATGAAAAAAAATAAAGAAATATTAGTTTTATTATAACTATAGAAAAATAATTAATAATAAGAATCTCCTTTATTAGAGAAAATAAAAAATGATTATAAGTAAATAAAAAATAAAAACTACATTTTTATATTTTAATAAAATATATTAAAAATAGAAATATGTTCAAATATTATAAAGTAACCTGCAATAATTAAGAATGTTAATAAAATTACCCTGAAGTAACTAAATATCCTGCTATAATCGTATATACAGTTACAAATACTCGTAAAATTCAAGAATATTAATTAATATAAGATTATAAAGATAAAGACGATTTAGCCGAATTATTGTTAAATAAAGTTTCCTATGTAAATTTAAGTGAAAATGAAGCTGAAAACGATGAATAATTTAGAAAATTAATAAATGAAGGTTTAGAAAAAGATATGAAATATTCAACAGCTTTCTTTTATGATAAATATGATTTTTTCAATAAACTTACTTACTTTTTGGTTAGTTAATAATAAAGATTCAGAAAATATTTACATTTTATTAGATATGTAAATCCTCCTGAAAATGAAGTTGATAATTGGGCTATTAAAGAAATTCCTGGAATTGCTACTATTTTGGAGAATAATTAACAGAAGTAAATTTTTAGAAGGTCGCCTTACGAATAACCTGCACTGGACTTTATTAATATGGTAGATTACTACAATTAATTAGCCTTATAAAAATAAGATGAATTATTGAATAAAAACGAAATATCATAAATCAATAATTAAGAAGAATTTGATGAGAAGTGTAGCAATAATGGAGATAGACCGTGTATTATTGCAATTTTTGATATGATAAAGGAAGGGAGATTCAAATAGGATTTAGAAAAACTGTAAAAAAGTAGAAAGTTTTTTTCAGATTTAGACTATTCTTATAATTATATTGATGGTAAGTGTCATAAAGAAATTTTATAAGTTTTTAAATTAAATGAAAATAATTTAAATACTTTAGTATTTATAGATTATAAGAAAACTAAGTAATTATTATTTATATTAATATATATATATATATATATATAAATTTATATATATATTTTATATATATTTTCAATTAAATAATATATATTAATTAGATTTTTGACTTTGAAATAACCTTTTGATAGCGAGAATTTGATTTAGTTTTTTGAGTAGTTTAGAAATAAAAAAAATTATAAATAATTACTTTAATAAATAGATTTATAAATTGATTTAGATGAAAAAGATTGCGAAAAATTTAATATTTAATAAAAAGAAATTTTATAATAAGAAAAGAAAAAGAAAACATAAAATAAATATTAAGAATTATGATATTGAATATATTATATAAATAATTTCATTTTTTTTTATTCTAAAAAAATAGTATAATAATAAATTCTTTTAGATATATTTATTATTTTTAAATAAATATATATATTTTTTCATTTATCTTAATATATTCCTAATTTATTGTTAAATGCATTTATTATTTATTTAATAATTTTTCTTACTTCTACGTTATTTGATTATATACATTCTAAAATTAAAGGCATTAAAAATCCTATATGACCTTTATTATTGTTTAATAACTACACAACGGTTTATGTGAATTAATTTTAAAGTTATTATTATTCCAAAAGTGCATAATTTTATTATATTATTTAATCAAATATTATATCAGGAATACTTAAATTATAAATATTTTTAAGAAAAATAAGAAATTCTTAATTATCAAAATTTTAAATAAAAGTACTTTTTTTAAATAAAAATTAAATTTTTAATATATTTTTTTATTAATTTTAAATTATAAAAAAAAAATACTTTTCCTTAAAACATTTAATATATGTTTTCAAAATATATTAACATGTAGACAATAAAAAAGGAATAAATATCACATATTTATAAAAATTCTTTTAATCAAAAAAATTTTATTCACAAATTTAGAACAATAAGCATATACAATATTATGAAAAGTTTTAAATATCATTTTTTTATAAATAATCATTTTTTTCTATACAAATTTAATATTTTCTAACAGAAAAAAAATATAAAGTATTAGCAAATTACTCAATTAATGAATTATTTATATTAGAATTTCCACAAGTAATGATTTTTATGGCATGTTAAACAATATTTTTATGATTTTATAAATATAAATCAATATCACTATTATTTTTGAATTAAATTTATTATTATTCCAAAATATCTTATTACATAAACTTAATCAAAAGATCCAATATTTCATTAGATTTTATATCATTTATAATCATATTTAAAGATAAGTCTATAAAAGCTGAAGTTGCCTCAACCCATATAGGAGTGTTTTCTTAAGGAATATTATATACCCAAAATTTATGATAGTTATAATCAAACTTAAGCAAAATAATGCAGTAAATTAACTCTAATATATCAAAGACATATTATTTTTGGAGACTATTTTCTTAATTGATCTATTTTAAAATTAATTTAAATATTTATTTAAGCGTTTAATTATAAAAAAGATCGCATTTATCTTCTTTGAAAAATTCTTTTAAAAAACAAATAAAAATGCTTTTGTAAAAAATCTTTTTTTATTAATATTAAAGAACAATAAAATCCAAGAATTTAAAAATAAAAGAATTGTCAAATTAGCTTTATTTAAACATAATAGAAAAATTCTACTCGACTATATATGGGAAAATTATTATCTTATAAATCAAAGCAAATGTAGAAGCAATTAATTATTGAGACTAAAGCTTCTTTTATGAAAAATCATTATTAAAAATAAGATCTAATAATTCCACTAAAAGGGGAATATTTTAAAAAATCATTTACTTTGCGGTATTTATTTCGTTTGGTATAAGGGAATATAAATCATCTATTTTATCTAATATTCGAACTATTTCTTATTGGAAATCGTTTATTGTTTAAATTTAAGAATTAGTTTTTTAGATAAAAGACATGAGACATTAAACACATACTTTTACGAGATTTTATCTTTTAAAAGATATAAAGTCTTCTATTATGATAAAAAATAGTTGTATTGTTTTTATCATTAGTTCTTTTTTTGTTTGTATTTAAGTTATTTATCGGTGTGATTTAAATTCTTCGATTAATATATTATTGTTTTACAATATATTATTCTATTCTATTAATGAACCTTTTAAATATACACTCTAAGATAATCCATTATTATTTTTATGAATTTTATTAATATTTTTATCTTTTTATTAATTTTAATCTAAATCTTGTTTATTTTGATTTTCATCCTCTTTTTCTTCTTCTTCAAGTTCTTTTTAATATTCAATATTTTCAACACATTTTTATATAATTTATCCAATATTCATAATATAATAAATAACTGAATTTTCCCAATTATCAACTTCTCGTTTATCATTATTTTATTCATTTAATTATTAATATAAAGATTAAATTAATTAACTCGAAATTCTATATATAATATCATTATAAATGATATCTCTCCAAAATTTAAATGAAAAATTTCCACTGTTTTCCAATATACTAAGCGTAAAAGAACAAATCGCTTTTTCTCTAATAGAAACATTTTAATGGTTTGAAATTTAAGCAAGGCAAAAATATATATCTCTTACAAATTTATTTATATTATTGTTTTGTTATTTATTTTTAACTTTTTTTTATTATTATTGACAATAACACATTTTGTTTAATTTTGATAATAAAGTTATAAATAAATTACAGGAATTATATATTATATCATCATTAGATGTATAATTAATTATATTCTGAATACATTTTAGGCTTTGTTTTATTTCTTCTAGTGTAAACTCATTTGATTTCTGAATTAAATAAGATAAATTGGCAAAATTTCCTTTAGAAAACTCAAAATTATTATTTTATTCTATTTCTATTTCTTTTTAGTTTTCAAAAGAAAAGTTGCTTATAATTTCTAAAATAATAAGCCGTCCTTTTTCATTTAAAATATTTATATTTTATTAAAGTAAATTATAAATGTTTAAACTTATTTCTTACTTTATATCCATAAATTGTCCATTACTTAATGTTCTCCAAACTTCCAATAAAATTTCTTAATAATTGGAATTATCATTAGTATTTTCATTATTTATTTAAGAAATTTCATTATTATTATTAGAATTAGTTTGAAAAGATTAAAGGATTAATTTGCATAAAATTTTGACTGATTTTAATCTAAATTCAGTTTCTTTACACATTGAAATTGTAATAAATACACCCTTTATTTAATTCCATAAGCTATTTATTCTTTATAAATTAGCGTCTGTTATTTCATTAAGTTTATCAATAAAAAAAGTGTCCTTTTTTAATTCATTTTTTTGTTCAAGTATTTCGTATATTTTATTTTCTAATTATTTTATTATTGAAATTATTTGTTTTATATCCATGTTTGTCGTATTTTTGTAGAAGTTTATTATTTTATTTACCATTTTATTATTTTCATTCAGAAAATTTTAATTTTCACTAGTATTATTATTATTTGCAGTTTTTTCTGATTTTTAATTATCTTCACAACTATTATTATTTATATTTTTTAAAAAAACATAGAATTAAAATGAAAATTAGATTAAATTTTCCCAACTATTTTAGTGAAATCTTGAATGAAAAGTTTCATAAATATTAATAATTGTTTCAATTTAAATAATGATTGTTTATTTTTATATTTTCTCTGTACACAAAAGCTTAAAAAATTGAATAAAAATTGAAGATTTATTCATATATAAAGATATCAGGAGAATACTTTTTACATCTCGGAAAAAAAAAGATGGGTTTAATATATTATCTTTGTCCAAAAGTTACAATTATTTGAAAAGATTATATATTTATTTAGATATTTCATTAAAAAGAATTCTAAAATATTCCTCTTCTGCTTGGAATTAATTCACTTTTGTAGTCTATGAGTAATTTTAAATATTCAGTCCTGTAATTTAATTAACAGTTTTTACTAAATTTTCAACAAATAAGCTTTTTATATCTTCTATGACCTAAAAAAGTTCATTTGGGGAAATTTCTTTTTCAAAACTAGCATTTTACAAAGAGATACTACTATTGCTTATATTAGATAAAGAGTTTTTAATTATTTTATTTTTATTAATTTTTCCTGACAAAAGCACACATATATTATTTAAATTATTTAAAAATCGCAAAAAAACGCAATCTGGATTATTCTAAATATATGTTTATTGAATAAATTTTTAAAAAGTTGAAAATTTTTAAAAAACATTTTTAAAACAAAAAAAAATTTAAAGCTTTTCATAATTAATTTAATCGTCTTTTTTAAATGAAAATTTTCCAAAAATATGAAAATCATTTTATATTATTAGTATTATTTTTGTATAAAAAAATAAAATTTTATTGACTTTTTTTTCATTCTCATTATTTTTTATTATCAATTCATTTAATATATTTACGACTTAGTTTTATAAATAATTCTCTAATTCAGCGTTTTATAAAAATATTTTATCACCTTCAGAAAGCATATATTTTAAACACTCGATAATTATGTCATCTATTTAGTTAATGTCAATATTTTCGTTTAACCAATTTACTTTGGTTAATTATATTATAGAAATAAAATCTTTAAATAAACTAAAGTAATTATGTAATATAGGTTATTCCTCATATTTAAATACTTATTAAGTTAATATTTATAATATTTATTGTATGATATTCCAATTTACACTTAAAATCATGTTATTTTATTAGTTTTAGAACATTAGTAATACTATGTTTATTGCCTTTTGGTAATATTCAGGCTTTAAAACTGAAAGGATATTTGGAGTTACTAAATTGCATAGTAATTATTGGATTTTTAAGTACATTTTGGGCTTTTTTATTTCGGTCAAAATCTAATATAGAATTGTTAAAGCAAAATAAAACTAATCATATTATATAAATATTTTAAAATTTAATAGTGATTAATAAAATGCTAATAGGTTTATACATGGATTTTATTTTTTTTAAGATGTTATTTGATTTGTGAGTTTTTTTAAAGAATCTTAAGGAAATGCTAATGTTGTTTTTTCTTGATATTTTTTATGTTATTCAAATATTTAGCAATATTTTATGATTTCCTATATTTTTTATGATAAATATATAAAGGAATTAATTTTTAATTTATATATTATTTTAAATTCAAAAACGAAAATATGTTTTATATCTTTTTAAATATATATTATATATGATTTGAAGGAAACAATCGAAATTATAATGTAAAAATTTACTTCTTTAATATTTGGATATTTTTTTTTGGTATTATTGTTAAATATTTTTAATTATTCAATAATAATTTCTATCTGCCTATTATTCATTTTTTTAGTATTGTCTATTTTATTTATTTTGAAAATTAAATCAAATTAAATAATATTAATATTTTTATGTTTGGGTAATTAAAAAAATAATATTTAGTATTTTACTTTTTATTGTCAAAAACAAATAATAAAAAATAAAATAATATGTTTAAAAACCCTTAAAATTATTAAATTCAATTAATACATTTATATAAGAAATATAAAAATATAATTTATAATGTAATTTTTGTGAAAAAAGTTTAAAATTAAATGAATTTTTGCATTTACGGTCAATTTTATTGATTAATTCGGTAATTATTAACATAAAAATGCATAAAAAAACTTTGAATGTCTACACGCAATTTATAAAATTTAATGATAAATTGTGTAAAATATTCAAAAACAATAAAAAATTTCATTTTTTTTTACTATATATATACATAGGAATCTCAAAATATTTGCAATACTGATAGAATCATATGTTAAATAGAATACAAATTGCAAAAACATTCATAATATTAATTTTCACAATCTTTTTTAAAAAGATCTATCTATACTTATTTTTTATAATGAAAAGTTAATATTATATTAATATTTTTTTTATTTAATATTTACATTGTAAATATTTTGACGCTACTAGTATATAATAATTAATTAGTAATTTTATTAAAAGAAAAAAAAAGAAATAAAAATAATTACAAAAAAAAAAAATATAGAAAAAAAAAATTAATCAAAAATGTAAAGGTAATAACATAATCATGATAGTATTAAATATTCAATTGCGGCTTTTTGTTCCTCTTTTTGTGTATAAATATTTCATCCCTTTGATTTAATAAAATTTCGTTTTTAAAGTAAATAAAACTCTTCAATAGAAAAAAAAGAATTAAGAAATCATATATAAATAAATAGGTCATGATGGCAAAAATACATTAAATTTAGTTCCAAAATATACTTCTATAAATAATGCTTTCTAAACGATATATTATTAGGAAGGCTTTAAAGGCTTATATAAGGGATTTTGGTGGTCTTTTTTTGCATAATCAACGAGCAGAATATTATTTTTTACAATGTAAAAATATATTCAAAAAAAAATAATTAATAAAATGTATTTTTTAAAAAAAGATACGAAAACGTAAGAAATAGATTAGAAGAACATTCAAATACATTATAAAAAGATGTTTAAATTTTCATATCTTCAACAACTAGTGGTATTATTGCTAGTTTCATAACTACTCCTATGTGGATAATAAAAACACGTATGTTATTAAATACAAAATAAATAGATGTAAAAAATAAATTAAATATATTTTTTTTAATAAAATAAAATAGGGATTTCATAATTTAAGTAGTACAATTTCATAAATATACAATAAACATGGAATTCCTGGATTTTGGAGAGGATTAATTGTAAGCATCCCTTTATGTTTACATGGAATTATTTAAATGTCTACTTTTGAGAAGTTTATGGAAATTACCAGAAAATTTTCTGATAAAGATTATTATAATTTGAGGTCTGCTGCAGCTGGATTTGTCAGTAAATTAGTAGCAATTTTTATTACTTATCCTTTGTAAACATTTAGGACAAGAATTTAATAGAATTAATATTTTGTGGAATTAAATGGACCCAAATATAAAAGTAATATTGATGTTATTATAAAATTGTATAAATACGAAGGATTCAAAAATGCTTATAAGGGTATTAGTGCGAGTTTATTGCTAAATTTACCATCAAATTCAGTATATTTTTTTTGTTATGAAACTTCTAAAAAATTGCTGGGAATTTCTAGGGATTAAAAAGCTTTATAATAAGAAAAAATTTAATGAAAAAATAAAATCATTTTGCTTTAAACAAAAATATTTTTAAAGAAATTGAAGTTATAATTTTTTATATTTATGTATTTTATAATATTTTTACATTAGTATTTATTTTGTAAAATAAAAATATTATTTGATTATTTTATTAAAATTTTAATAAATTTTTATTAAAAAAAATGATTAAAAACTAAAAAAAGCTAATAATAAAAATATAAATTAAAAATAAAATAAATTAATAATTATATATTAATTATTAAAAATTAAATTTTCAAATGTATTTAACTTATATATATATATATATATATATATATATATTTATATCTTTTTAATTTTATAATAATAAAAAAAATATCTTTAAAAATGGAAGAATAGTTATAGACATTTTCTAAAGAACTTAATTAACATTTATAATAGGTACATTAAAAACTATAAAATGAATTAAATAATATGGAAAGTAAATGTTTCGAAAACAAAGATGTGGATTCTTTTGCATATTGTATGGAAAAAAAGTTGAAAAATTAGAAAAAGAATAAAGAAATTTAGAATTTAAAATGTCTTTCCAACAAAAAAAGATTATTGAATGCTTCTAAAGAGCTTAATAGGGAAATAAGGATATTTTAAAATGTAAAGAATCAGCAAAATAAAAAATCTAAGATTATGCTGAAGATTTTTTATATAATATTCGTTAATGAAAAAACAAAAAATATTTAAAATAAAAAATATATGTTTACTCATTTATTTTAATTAATATTTTAGCAAATTAAAAAAAGAATATTTTATATAAATTTATAGCAAGATATTTTGTTAATTACACATAATTTTTTTTCATTTTCATTTAATTATTTTTTAAAAAAATGTAGTTAAAATGATAAAATTTTGTTATTTATTTTTTCTAAAATTCTCATAATAATTTAATTTATAGTAAGAAAAAATATAAGCATAAACTTCTATAATATAATATATATTTAGTTTATTTATTTATTTATTCATTTAAAAATTAATTTCATAATCCATTTTTTTATAAAAATAAAAAAAATTAAATATTAAAACTTTCTAGAATAAATAAATTGAAATACTTATAATATAATATATTTATGTAAGTGAATAAAATATTATTTAATAATTATTTTATCTTATTTAAATAAGAATTCGAATAATTGTTAGTTAGTTATTGAAATATATATAATTTTTATTTTATTTATTATTTTAAATTTATTTTGATAATAGAAATTTTATTTTCGTTTGAAAATTTTATGTTTACTTAATGAAATCATAGTTATTGTTTTTCAACCTATTTATTTAAAATATAGGATTACTTAATTAATAATATATGATTTCCAAAATCTATTTTTATGTAACATTTAAAATAAAATATGTTTTTTATAAAATTAAAAAATAATTTATATATATAAATTAACATAATAATTATTTATTGATAAATATTTAAATATATAATTTTTTCTATATTATTTAGTTAAGAAACAAACAAAAAACATTGAAAAATTAAATATCATTTAAAAAATATTTTATGTAAGAAACTTTAAAATAATGTAAATTATTTAAAGCATCTTAAAATTTTAAAAAAGCAATTTTCTAAAAAAAAAAATTATATTTTATATATATATACAGTAAAGAATTTTAATTAATTTCAAATAAAAATAAAAATAAAAAATTATTATATGGAATTATAATTAGTTTCAAATATTAAACATAAACATAATGAAGTCTCATAAAATAAAATCAATTATAATTAAAAAGAAAATAAAAAAAATATAATTAATGAAAATAATAATATAGATAATAAGCATCTCCTATCTCAATCAATAAAAGAAAACGAAAAATCATCTTAAGAGGCAAATAATTCTGTATAAAATTAAAGTTAATAAAATTAAGATTAATAAAAAAATTTGAATAAATAAAATAAGATAATTTAAAAATTTCACATAAAATTTTAAGTCAAAAATAATTATAAACAAGATAAATAACTATTCGAGAAAATTTATAAAAAGAAGCACAAGAAGATCAGGTAGGAGGCTTTGAAGATGGCAGGGCTACCAAAGCTTTTTTTTCGCGTTTTTTATTAATTGACCAAGCAGTTTCTTTGTTTTCGTTTTTATCAGTAATAATTGCAGTTATTGAATATAGTTTAGAATTTGAAGAAAGAGATGAATAATAGGCAATAGTAATATTATGGATGACTACTATTTTAACACTTTGTAATATTATTATTTTTTTAAAAAAAAATTAATAAATAAAAATACAAGGTATGTAAATATTAACTATAGTAAGATATTAAGTAAGATTAGATTGGTTAAAATAAAGAAAAGTAGTAGGAAAAAAGGATAATATATTTAAAGCCGGATATTTAAAATATTTAATAATAGAATTAATAATAAGTATACCCCATCCAATGCCTTGGACTTGGAAAATGCGAATTTATTTTTTTAATGAACCAACCTTAAGGGAAGATGTATATTATCATTTGAATGAAATATTTACTTTATTCATGATGTTCAGGGTTCTGCTTATTATAAGGACTTTAATGATGACTTCTATTTGGTATAATAATAGAACTTAGCGTTTATGTAATTTATATGCATGTGATGCTGATTATTTATTTGTAATTAAATGTATTATGTAGATATAACCTTATTAGTTGATTTCGGCAGCTATGGGAATCTCTATTTTTTATTTTAGCTTTACTATTATGATTTGTGAGGCTCCTTTGTCTAGAGCTGATGAAAATGGGGAAATTACACCTATTAATTACTATAATTACTCAAATTGTATTTGGAATATTATTGTTACTATGACTACTGTGGGATATGGGGATTTGTTCCCAAGAACCCCTTTGGGAAGATTTTTTATTGTTATAGTTTGTATTTGGGGTGTATTTATTGTTTCTATGATGGTATTGACACTTACAGTTACTTTGGATACTAGTTCTATGGAAAATAAATCTATTGTGGTTTTGTAAAGACTAAAGTTAAGGAAAGAAATGTAAAATTATTCGGCTTTTATTATGACACTTTTTGCTAAAATTAGTCTCGATTAAAGAAAAAATTGTCTTAATCCTAAATAAAAATTAATGTTTTTTTTTAAAAAAAAATATATTATTAACATATATTTATTAAGGAAATAAATTAGATTAAGATAATATTTAAATAAATTTAAAATTATTTAAAGATAATATAGGAGTATTTAAGATGAAAATATATCGGAATAAATGGTTTAATTTTTTATTATTTTTAAATATTTGTATAATTTTTATAAGAGTAGGCATTTTAACTTTATGAAAGAGGACATATTAAATTTAATAAAAAATTAAAATAATTTAATAAAATCCAATATAGAAATAATGCGTAAATTAAAAGTGGAATAAGATATTATTGATTAGAATGTTTAAAGAATAAAAAATAATTTTTAAATGTCCTGCAAGAGTTTTACATATATTGGTGAAGAAGGAAAATAGTCCAAATAATAAAATTTAATAAATTACCGAATTGAAGAAATTCCAGAAGAAGAAAATTTAAAAGAATAAAAAAGTTTGAATTAAGATAATTGTAAAGGAAAAAATTTTAATAATAATAATTAATCATAAACAAATACATAAAAAAATAAAAATATATAATAATGTAATTTTAATAATAATAATGAATAATCATAATTATAAATTGAATGTAATTATAGTTAAATTGAACTTGAATAAAATTAGACTAACTAAAATTGGATAAGTGAAAAATAAGAAAATATAATAAATTAATTAGATTTAACTAAACATAATGATATTCACAATAATACTTTTAATAACAATCAAGAAAGTATTATGGAATGTAAATAAAAAATTGAAGAAAATAATGAAAGTTTAATGGACAATAAAATCAATACTACCATAGAAAATACAAAAAATAATGCCTTTTTAATAAAAAATGATGATAAGGTTTATAGAATAATTATAGACAGTGTATGAATATTAAATATTTTATTAAAAATTATTTTAATTTATTATTTTTTTATTTATTTAAATGCATTATTTTAATGATGTTTAAATATTACATATTATTTTATTATTAAAACATATGTTATATTTAAAATTTAATTTTTAAATAATAGACATTATTCTATTTATATAATAAAATAAAAAATTCATTCTTGTTTTTTTTTTTAAATCTTTATATTTTTTATGAAAATAAATCTTATTGTTTTTGTATATTTTAAAAATTTATCAAATAATTCTCATTAATAATGCAAAAAATATTTAAATTAAATTTAATAAATTAGAAAATAGATTCTTCTTTAAGTGCATGAACTATATTTTAACAATTGAAATATTATAAATAAAAACCTGGGTAGACAGTTTTAAATATGGATATTACTCAATATTAAAATCTATTTTAAACAAACTAGAGAGAAGAATAAATAAAAAGAATAATATTAAAAAAATAATAGAATTTATAATAATAAATTGATTAATTAACTCTAAAAAGACATATTTAATCACGGAAGATTTGAATAAATAATAATCTTTAAAATTGTAATAATTGAAGTTTTAAAATTTATATATTAAAAGTATTATGTATTTTAATAGATTTGATAATAATAAAAATTATCATATTAATTATAATGGAAATAATTAATTTAAATATATTCACACCTAAATAGTAACTAAAAGTCCTAAAAATATAATTCAATTTAAAATGTTTTTTTAGATAATATTCATAAGAGAAATAAAATATATAAATATATTAAATTAAAATAAAAATAGTATTTAAATAAAATAAATAGAAAATCTTATATTAGTTTAGATTCTTATTCCTTTTTATTAGCAAATTTAGGGATGAAAAGTTTTTAATAAAAAAAAGGGATAATTTTTAACTTTAGACAACTAACCAATAAAAAATAATTTAAAACTTAAATTCAGATTATCATTTATTAAATAAAAATTTAAAAAAAGATAGAATAAATTTCAATAAATAATTGATTTTTTTGAAACACTTAATATTATTTGACGTATAAATAATAGACTAATTTTATTTATTTTTATTTTTGTTAAAAAAAAAAAAATATTTACAAACAAATAAAAATTTTATGCAAATTTTTCTTAAAATTTATGTTTCGAAAAATAATTACCTAATTCATATTTAAAAAGAAATTATTAATAAAATAATCAAAACTCTTAAATTAGGAATTTAACTTAAAATCTAACATAAAATTTAAGGAGAAAAGCTTCTATTATTAGTTATGGGGAAATAAAACAAAAAAACATGTTTAAATTTATCTATTTTTATGATTATTATTTGAAGAATAGTATAATAAGTAAGAGCAACTAAAAATAGATATATAAGATTAATTAACTAACAATATATTGAAGGATAAACTATTATTTTATGATATTAATCCTAAATAAAATAAATATAAAAATTAAAATTATATTCAAAACAATAAACATTAACATTATGTATTAAACCTATTCCAAAATAATTAATTTTTAAATTTTTTTTTTATAAAAATAACAAAATAAAACTATTCAATTTATAAAAAAAATTTATAAATATATTTTAAAAAATACAACATTTACAAAAATCAAAAATAAAATAATAAAAAATTATATGTATTTTTTAGTTATATATTTATAATTTTATTTAATATTAAATGAAAATGTCATATGAAATTATCATATAAAATTATAAAAATTACTTAAATATAAAATATATTTAAATTTTAATAAGAAAATAATTATATTATAATAATAAATTATTTTAATATTTTATTTATAATATAAATTTTTAATAATATAAAATAAATATTTAAGTAAAATAAACTTTAATATAAATCAATTATTAACTTTTAAAGGTTATTTAATGGGTTAAATATTTTGCAATTTCTTTAATTAAGTTCTAAAGTAAATCAAATCATATTATTGTTATTTATCATTTTTTTTATTCTATTATTATTACTATTAATCCTAAACTTCAATATAATTTTTTTACTTGACCATACTTCTATGTTTATTAACAAAATTACTTTAACTAATAATAGCATTTTTTATGCATTTGCTTTTAAATAAAGTACTTTTTTAAGAAATGATTTAAGGTTAACTAACCTATTCTTTTTAGCTATTTAATTATTCAATATTTTACAATGTATTTCTTCTTAAAATTTTTTCTAAATTTTTTAATTATCTTTAAAATCCATAATTAGGGAAAATAATTATTCTTTTTCTTTTTACGAAACTAAATGCTGTTGAATAATTCCATGAATTTTTTTGCATCAAATATGCTATAACACATGTTGCACTTCGAGAAATTCCAGCTGCACAATGAACTAATACATTTCCTTTTTACAACCCATTTTCTATTTCTGAAATTACATCATTAAAATGTCTTTATATATTATAAGTTTCGCAATCTTACATATTCCATTACCTGTGTCTAATCTTTTTTTGAGGATCGTAATATAATTTCAACCCTTGAGCGACTGTAAGAACTGTATTAATACCTCTTCGAACTAATGCATCAACATCTAAGGCAGCATAATAGTCTCCTAACCATAGTTAACCTTTTTAGGTGTCTTATGCATCGACGATTAGATTCATGTTCCTGTTGAATTCGGTTTAGTTAAATTTTTTAAACATTATTTTTTATATTTTCTTTTTCTTTTTTCTTTTTTGATTTATTAAATTATAAATTTATTATTACAGTATTAAAGTAATTTTATTTTTTATTTTTAATAATAATTAATGTATTTTATTAATTTCTTGTATATATTAATAATTAAATAAAATAAATGTGTTTATTAGCATTTATAATTATAATAAAATAAATAATTTCTAATTTTTATTAATGTTTTCTAAATTTATAAATTATTTATATATGAAGAATAAAATTTTAAATAATAAAAATTAAATTTATTACTTTTTTTTAAATCTTTATTTTTTAAAACTCAATCAAACAAGCAAAAAATACAAGAAATATTGGATAGCGTTTTTTTATTTTATTGAGTTTTAAAAAAAATATATATAAAACTTAAACAGAAAAATAAGATAAAATAAATTATAAAATAAATATATTAAAAAATTAATTATATATTTTAATTTTAATATTTTATAATTATTAACTGAGTTATTTTTCTTTCTATCTTATAAAAAATAAACTTTAAAATTAAATATATAATACATTGTTAGATAAAAATAAAAGGATTGCTTAAAAATTTAAAATATAGTCTTTAAAATAGAAGTGATATAAAAGAATATCAATAATATTATATAAAAAATAAAAAAGTTAACAAAATTTTACTTTTTTACTTTTTAGAACTTAAATATTATATTTTATTTTTTTCTGGAATTTTTTGTTTTAAAAAAAACTCAATATTAAAATTAAGACGTGAAAAATATATAATGTCCTTTTTTTTAAAAAAAAAAATTACAGCAAAATAAATAAAAATCATACATTTGTATTTATTATAATTTATTTTTATTTTAAATTTTAATTTTATTTTTATAAAATAAAACTCAATATATAAATTTTAATTATTTTTAACTTTTATTTATTATAAATCATTTTTTTATTTTTTTAAAATAACTAATTAATTAATTTCTATTTATTTTTTTATTTACAATTAACTAAAATAAAATAATAGGTAAAAGAATAAATAAATAAATAAATAAAACACATTTAAACTTTCATAAAAAATGTATAATAAAACATCTGATTTAGATGGTAAAAATAAATATTCATATTTATACTAAAAACAATATAATATTAATTTAACAAAATAATAAAAAAATTAATGTAAATTAAAAGCAAAATTTATGGATAACTTAATGGATTTAAAAGAAGAATACCATTAAAATCATTTAACAGTATTTGAGCAATAATAATAAGCATTTTAAACACTACAAAAAGAATTTTATGAGAAGGTATTATAAAATAAACCAGAATGTATACATGTATTTTCAAATATGTTACCAGATCAAAGAATAAGGGTAATAAATGCCTATGACACAATGATAAAAAATCCTTAAATAATTCAATAATACCCACAAATTTACTAAAACTACACATAGACCATAATGTGGATATTTTAGCAAGCATATATAATTTAAGTGAATAATAATCAAATGCAAAAGTAATAATAAAAAATATAATAAGCAATGAGTTTAGACTTATCAGAAAAAGAATAAAAGCTATATCAAATTTTATTTTAAAATTTAAGTGGAGAATCTAATTTTAATGTATATGCAAATGTATAACCTTAAATTTTGCTTGATTTTATAAAAAGAAGTTAATTAAATTAAGTAAAATAATAATATTATAAAAACATTAAATATATATAAATTAATATATATATATATATATATATATATATATATATATATATATTTATATATTTTTATTATAAAAGTATTAAATAAGAAATATATGGCTTGAAATGATAGGTGAAAATTTAAAAAATCAAATTAATTTTTAGTAATTTTGTATGCTATGTAGAAAAATAGCCTCTATTTAAAATAAAGCTGAACTTTCTTATTATCAAATTTAAGAAATTTAATAATACATTTATTTGCCCAACTTTGAAGGAATAAACACTTTTTAAATAATTAATTAAATATAACCTTAAAATTAATTTTAAGATAATCAATAAATTTAATAACAACATTTATATAATTAATAACATTAATAAAATTAATAACTTGAATAAAGTTAATATTATTAAAATTAATATTTATAAAATTAATAAAATATATATTAATAACATTAATAAAATGATGATTTTGGAGATTTCCAAACTTAAGTTAAATAAAACAATGATTTTGGAGATTTCTAAACTTAAGTTAAACAAAACGATGATTTTGGAGATTTTGTTGATACCAAAAAAAATGCAAATTAAAATATAATAGATACAGACGAAACTCCTAAAAAAAAGTACGATGCATTCTACATGTTTGAAATAAAGCAAAAGCAAATTCATAAGAACAAAACCAGTAAATAAAATACAGATGAAAAACCTAAAAGTAATAAATCAGATGATTTTGGCAATTTCTAATACAATGTAGTCAATCCAGAACAAGTATAATAATAATAAATAAATGATGATATAAAATATTAAGATGAGTTTGGAGATTTTTAAGTAAGTTAAATTAATTAATAACATTAAGTGAATAATAATATTTAAAATTAAGATGAATTTGGAGAATTTTAGGTGAATTTTTAAAATATAAACGCTATTAACAATGTTATAGATATTTAAAGCAATTAAGTTTTATAAAAAATAAAGGGAGAAGATATTATATCATCAAATGCTTCTTAAATAAATGATTAGAAAAATATAAATTAAAATCAATAGATGACCGTATAGATTGTTAAAACACCAATAAAAGCATATGAATTAGACTGGGATGCTATTATTAATAAAAATAAAGATGAATAACAAGATAATATGTAAGATAATAGATAATAATAATAATAATAATAATAATAATAATAATAATAATAATAATAATAATAAGGACTAGTTTAAAATAATAATGATGATGATTTTGGTGATTTCGAAGAGGGAAATTAACAATAACATATATTTTAATAAAATTAATTAAATATTTAATAATAAAATTAAAACGAGCTTTTAAATCATACCGATGATTTCAAAATTACTACTAATAATAATTGTAATTTAAATATTTAAAGTAATAATGTCGCTAATTTATAAAATAATTAAATGGATAATAATAATATATAATAATAAAACATGTCTGATGATTTTGGAGATTTTAACTTAAACGATGGTATAAATAATAATTAATAATAAAAAAATAATTAAGATTTGTTTTAAGATGTATAAAATAATGTTTAAAATCTTATTCCAGAATAAGATTAATTTAACGAATTTTAATTCAATAATAATTTCCAAAGTTAGCTTTAAGAAAATATAATTTAGTAATAAAGTAATGATTTTGTTAAATAAAATTAGAATAATAATGAATTATTGGATGATTTTAATGATTTTAAAATTTCAGACAATAACAAAGTTTAATAATAATAATAAGATTTAAAATAAAATTATTAATTAAATATAAACATATAAAATAATCTTTATGAAAATAATTAATAAATTCAAAAAAATAATGATGATGATGATTTATTCGGAAATTTTGAAGGGTAATAAAATTTAGAAAATACAAATCAATATCAATAATAAGGAAAAGACATTAATCATAATCAAAATAATTTCTACTAAAATAAATAAAATTTAAATTAAAATGAAAATTTGAACAATAATATTTTGTTAAACAATGAAAACATATATTAAAGTAATTAAAAAGAGAACGAATTTTTCGGAGATATTGTTGAATAAAAAAATAATAATGAATATATATAATAAAAGACTCATGATTAAAATAAAAATAATGTTTAATAAGATAATTAATTTGATGATTTTTAATAAAAGAATTAATAAGTATATAATGGAGATAAATTCAATGAATTTTAATAAAATAATTTGAATTATTAATAGTATAATTAAAATTATGAAAATAATCAAGTTTAAAATAATTAAAATTAGGATTTATTTAATGATGATTTTGCAGATTTTTAATATAATAATAATTAACAAATATATTAAAATTAAAATAATGATATAATTAATTAATAATAAGAAACTAAAAGTGAAGAAAATGATGATTTTGGAGATTTTCATGATATTAATTAAAATAATTAATAAAAAAATTAAAATATGCAACATACAGAATATAGCACAAAAAGTGACCCAAAAATAATAAATGACTTAATTTTTACTGAAAATCCAGTAGATTTTGATGAATAATAAGATAAAAAATATAATCAAAATTAATAAAAAAATAATACTTTAGAAATTTCTTAAAAAGAGTTTTTTATAAAAAAAATATATTTATTTATATTTATTATATTTTTAGTATTTTATAATTTGAAACTAATCGAGAAGGAAGTACAACAATTGATTAAAAATAAAATAATGCTTAAATTATATAAATAAAAGATATTTAACCTTTTTAAAATAAAAAGTAAATTAAAAAAGGAATTTACTGGAGAAATGTTTTCGAAAATTAAGGAAATTATCTCCAAGATCCTAAGTTTTATGAAGATTTATTATTAGAAATAGACTCTATTGGCTTGTATACTTGTGTAGAAAGAGTATTTGCTATTCAAGAAGTAAAAATAAAATTAATGTTTTTTTTTTATTATTTAATAAAATAAATTATTTATTTTATATAAAATATAAATAATATAATTTTAAAATAGGGAATAAATTAATTATCTTAATTAAATGATAATTTAAAAAAATATAAAAGTGAATAAAACTATGATTAAGTTCTCAAAATCAAACAAGAAATATAAGAAATAAATCTCCAAAATGATTTTTAATCGGAAATAATAGGATTAGTTTATTAAATTTCTTCCTGTGATGGTAAATGCTTTGCCGAAATAATTTATAATAAAGTTTCAAAATTATAACATGCAGATATATATTGTCCTTAAGTTCAAAAAATGTACGATTTTGATGCTGATTTGGAAGATTTTGTCCGCTTTTTTATTGTATGTTAGAATATAGATAATAAATTTGACGATTTTATTTAGAAATTGTTAAAAGTACAATAGGCATGTGAGGAAGAATTTAATATTTTTAAAAATTAAATATGTCTTTTTAAGAAATTGTCATTTTAAACTTAATAAATTGTAGTAAAAATGTCTGAATTTACCGATTATATTTAAGCTTGTTAATTATTGTATTGTCATGGAAAAAGATATAGTTAAATATGCTTTTATTTGAGTGGAGATTGTATTAATTTATAATCCTTCGAAAAATACTTTAATTATGAGATAGGAAAAATTAATAAATAATTTAGTGTGGATTTAAAACTTATTGGATAACAAAGCTTTTAGGAAAATTTAAAAGAAGAAGAAAGGGAATATTTAATTAATAATATTTTAAGTAGTGAATAAAGCTTTGTTAATGCGAAAGAGTTTACTTGTAATATGTGTTTTGGAATTGCTAATCAAACTAAAGTTCATTATAGAGGATTTTTTTATCATAAATTATGCATTAATGTTTGGTTTAACAAAATCTCGACAATTATTCATTGAATATTTTTTTTTTAAATAAAAAATATATATAATTTTGAATTGTTTTTTTATTTTAAATATATAAATATTTAAAATTAATAATATTTTTTTTTTTTTTAATAATCCTTAAAATAATATACTATACAAAATATTAAGTTTTTAAAATAATTATAAAAAATAAATTTTATTATTTCTATGCTATTTATAATATCTAAAAAAAAAGTACATTTTTTCAATAAAATTTTAAGCATTATTTAATTTATCATATATATTATTTGAAAAATGTTTGTATGTAAATAGATATTCAATAAAAATTACACACAATTATTCTTTCATTAAAATAATAAAAAATATATTATTTAATATGCATAAATTAATTTACTTTTATTATTAATTTTATTTAGATTTTTTTTTTATATAAATAAATAATTAATTAACTTTTATTTTTTATATAAATAAAATTATATTATTTAAATTAAAAAAAAAATGTAGATATATTTTTTTTTTAATATAAAATCTTTTTGCTTTATAAATTTTATTAGTTTTTTTATTATTATTAAAAATTTCATTAATTTAGATATATTTTTTTTTAAAGTAATTCATATTTAGGAGGAATAATTAATATAAATTTTCTTCTTGTACTTTAATAGAAATAGTTTTTTGTTTAAATGTATATCAAATTTTTAGTTTTAATTTATTTACTATTTGATATTTAAGGTGATAATGTTTGTAATGAAGTTTATATCGATTATTAATCTATAAATAGCAATGATTTATTTTTACAACAATTTAAGTCGTTATTATTATAATCATTATATTTATTATTATTATTATTATATTTATTATTATTATTATTATTATAATTATTATTATTATTATTTTTATTATTATTTTTTTTATTATTTATTTGATTATTTTTATTGTTATTTATATAATTTTTTGTACTATTATTATCTTGATGATCTTTTTTTATATTTTTTATTTAATTAGAATACTATGTTTCTGTAATATTTTTGCCTAAGCATGCATATTTTATTTAAAGAAATTGTTTATACGTTTAATCAGATAATTCCGAAAGTTAAAAAGATAATTTTTTAGTCAAATACAATAGACAAAATGTCCACGGAAGTCTTCTTAATCGTTCTATTTTTTCAAATTTTTAATTATTTATTAAAGAAATTATATAATAAGCTAAAATTTCTATTTCTTTTTATTATCTTAAATAACAAGTTAATCAAAGTAATCTAAAATATATATACATATATATATATATATTTATATTTATATATATATACATATATATACATTATTATATTTATATATTTATATCAATTTTTTTTTACTTAAAAAGCAACAATAGTCTTATATAAATTTCTTAGATGAAAATACTTTTTAAAGAAAAATTGTATTCATAGTTTTATTGAATTATTTCTTCTAATATTTTAAAACTTAATAAATGTATAAAATAATTAAATACCTAAAAGGGAGAACAAATTAAGAATCATTTACATGTTATTTAAAATAATGTTTCATACAAATTTCATTAGCTTCTTTAAAGTTCATTTTCGAATCGCATCTAATTTTTAGTTAAGAAAATAAATATCTGAAAGCCTTTCTCATACAAAACTTAGTCATTTCTTCTTTCGTTTTTCTTAACTTTTTGAATTTTTTCACAAGTGAATTGAATATATTTAAATAACAATCTCTTTTTTCCTCAAATTATGAATCAGTTTTTATAATTTACTTTTTACTCTAAAGTAAACTCTCATCTGTATTTAAATATGTCACAATAAATTTAATAATCATCTTTATTTTTATATACTCCTTCTACTTCTCCTCACTCATCATATTTTCTTAAATTATTTTTTACTCATCATCATCTTAATAATATTAATTAAGAATGAATTCACTGTTAGTTTTTGTACTTTCCTTTTATATAATTTTTGGTGTTTCCAATTATTCTTCAGGTTTTTGTATTTTAGAAGCGAATAGAGATAGATAAGATGTTGAAGATTATTATTTTTAAATTTATTATTAATTTATGCTTTAGATGTTTATTTGGTGGGAGTTTTCATTTTGAAGAAAAATCTAGGCAGAGGAATATTGAGATTCTTGAGATTTTTTATCGGGTTAAAAGCGGGCAATTTATTGTATTTAGGAAGTTTCAGGGTTTGTTATTAGTGAAGTAGAAGTATTCATTTTTTTATTAATATTTTTTTTTATGTAAATTAATAATTTTTTATATATTTTTTTTTTTTAATATTTATGTATGTGTATTTTCTTTTTTATATTTGTGTATTATTTTTTATTTTTTATTTTATTTTTTATTTTTTATTTTATTTGCTTGGATTATTATTATGATTTTTAATATTTTATTGATGAAATAAATATTAATAATTATATTTTATTGATTTTTATTGAAATTTAATGAATTATATTTTATTTTTAATATATTTAAAAAATAAAATTTATTAATTGACAAAACACGAGAAAATAAATATAATTTTTTTTTCAACATAATTAAAATGTTTATTTTATTAAATTAAATTTCAACAAAAATGAAACTAAATAAATTAAATATAAAATAAAATACATATTTAATTAAATTTTAAATTATATTCATAATAACATTATATTTAATTTCTTTTTTAATTATTAGAATTAATTAAAACTCATTAATAAATGTAATATTTATATATATATAATGATAATAAATAAACCATTTTTTTTTTAAAAAATAATTTAATTATCATTTTAAAATTATATAATAAAACAAAAAGTATATAAATAATAAAATTTAAAATTCATATTAATATTAAATATTTATATTTCTTGTTCATATTATTTTTTTAAAAATATTCAATCTAAAAAATAAATAAATAAACCATTGTTTTTGTTTATCAAGTTTTTTTTAAAAATAAAAACAAAAATAAATTAAAAACAATATGAGCCAATTATATTATTTTTTATATATAATATATTTTTTTAATAAATATAATTTTTTTATTATTATTTTTATTCTTTAAAAAAAAATATTAAAAAAAAAAAACTGTAATTTATTTTTTATAAAAAATGGCTTAAGTAAATTATTTAAAAGAAAAAGCTGATGAATATTTAAGAAAACATAGAATAGTAGAATTATTTGAAGATATATGTAGTGCAATATGCTTTAAATAACCAGAAAATGTAGAATAGTTTATTGTTGAATAACTAAAATAAAAAAAGAATAAGGATTTAAAACTGGAATATTTAATCATGAAGAAATATAAAATGTATTCACACTTTTTGACTTAAAAAAAGATGGATATATTGGAAAGGAAGCTTGTAAAGATGCATTAAAAACATTAGCCAGTTCAGAATATTAATTTAATGAAGTTAGTGATGCTTCTATTCCTGATAAAGTTGATATAACCACATTTACAAGGCTTTGTTCATAGGTATTGGGAATTTAAAAATGATTTAAATTTATTATATATCAATTTAGTTTTTAGAAATAGTATATAATATTATAAATGCAAATGTTTTTTAAATTTTTATATAAATAATTCATAAATTATAAGTAATATTTTTATTTTTTTAAGTTACATTTATTTTAAAAATTACAATGTATATTGAAAATTATAAATTAATACTAACTTAAAATATTTTAATATATCTTTATTTATAAATTATATGCTATAAAAACAAAATTTTTATTTATTTATTAAAATAAAATATTTTTTTATAAATTGTGTAATAAGTTTATTTTTCTAATTATTCAAAAATATATAAACATGTTATACTTTTTATAAGAGTAAAAATATTTATTAAATAATTTATTTTAAAATATTGAATGAATAATTATATTTAATAAGTTTTTAATTATATAATTTGATTATTAAATTTAATAATTTATTTTAATATATCATTAATATAAAATTATTATAATTTTAATTTTTTATCTTATTTTATTAATATTAAAATTTATATCTTATTTAAAACTTCTTATATATATAAACATATTTGTTTTGAATACTTATTATATAGTAATTGCATAAAATTTAAATTTGATAAATTGTAAATATTAATAATTTTAATTTAAATATTTATATATAATTATAGAGTTAATATAAAAATTTTTTTAATTAAAATATAAAAATAAAATTATATTTATAATAATTAATATATTTTTTTAAAATTGATTTTCAGTTTGAAACACAAAAAATTATATATTTAAAAATTAAAAATATATATTAAAAAATCACATATGAGGAAGTCTAATACCTCCATCAATTCTAAATACAGATCCTGTTACAAAAGAATTAATAGCTAATCCACAAATAGCATCAGCAAATTCTTTTGGCTAACCGATTCTTCCTAAAGCACTAGCTTTTTTCAAACCAATAATATATTATTCGGTAATTCGATTTCCCATTGGTGTTTCAAATATACCTGGAGCAATAGTGCAAACTCTAATTCCATATGATCCTAATTCTCTAGCCATAGGTAATGTCATTCCTAAAAAATAAAATAAATATAAAAAGAAAATAAATAAAAAAAAGAAATAAATATATATATATATATATATATATATATATATATATATATATATATATATATATATGCCTATAATTGCTCCTTTAGAAGCTGAATAAACAGTTTATCCTCTTTAGCCTTCTATTCCTGCGACTGAAGCTACATTTATAATTACTCCTCTTTCTTTGAATTCTTAATTTATGTAATTTTATTTAACCATTTACATAGCGACGTACTTTGATACGTTAAAAGTTCCGACTACGTTAATTTTTAAAACTCTTTCTAGTTCTGCAGTGTTTATTGTTTTATCTTGATTCTTTTATTTATTTATTTTTTATTTAAAAAAATTCTAAAATATTATTTTTACTTTTCCAGCTACTAATAATCCAGCAGATATTACACCTGCTGAATTTAAAAGAAAATGTATAGCTCCAAATGCTTCTACACATGCATTAATCATACTTTTAACTTGATTTTCATCAGATACGTCAGTTTTTTAAAATTAGCATCTTTCATGTCCATATTCTTGTACTAAATCGTTTCCATCCTTTTCATTCATATCTGCAATAAATACACGGACGTTTTTACTTAATAAATTTACTACTGTGGCTTTTCCTAAACCACTTGCTCCTCCTGTTACTAATGCGACTACGTTATTGTCTAATTTCATTTTTTTTTTTTAATATTAGAAAATATTATTTTGTGTTTTTATTTTTTATTATTTAATAAAAAACTTAACCTTTATTTACTTAAAAAAAATCTTTCCTAAATAAGAATTTTTAATATTTTTTTATTAAATTAATAAGATAAATAATATTAATATATTTAATAAAATATATTCATATTTATAATTAATATATGTTTATATATCTATTTAAATATATAATTTTTTTTAACTTTCCTATTAATACTTAATTTTATAAATGTAAAATATTATAATTTTTTTATCCAGTCCGCAATTTTTAATTTTCTTTATATAAATTTAGTAATAAATACATAGATATATAATAAAATATTAATAGATGATTTTATAATTTAATTATTAAAGATTTCAATAATTACAAAAAAGTTATATAAAAAAAGTAAAAAAATTATAATAAAAAATAAAATATTTGATACATTACATTCAAATTATAATCTTAGAATAATAGTAACTTATTAAAAAAAATTATAAAATACCTAATCTAATAAAATATAAAACTTTTTTGCCAATAAAAAAAGTTTCTTTAACTTCCTTAAATAAATATGCTTTCTCAAAAAAAAATTATTTAAAATAACATGAATTCCAGAATGCTTGATAAAAATATAGAAGTAAAAGATATTTAATTAAAATTATAAAAACAATATATAAATTTAATATATAATAATAAATTTATAATATATTAAAACATAATTATGAAAATACGAAAACTAAATATTCATATTTAAATAAAATAAGTAAATTATTATATTATCGCAATAATAAAAAATAGAAAATAATAATATAAATTTATAATAGAAAAATTTAAAAACAAAATTTCTAAATAAATGCTAATTTGAGAAAAAAATGACATAAAACTGTTAATTTAACAAGAAAAAAATTACTAAAAATAATAAGCACGCTATCAAAAAAAATTAAACTATTAGAAGATGATAAAATGAAAATAGGTAAATAAGTAATATATAAAAAAAATTGACATTAATATTAATTAATTAGATAAAAAATTTAAAATAAATAAATAAAATTATAATTTAAATATATAAATATGTAAATATATTTATATATATATATTTATTTATATACATATTAAAAAATGAGAATATTGTATTATATTATTTTATTTTTTTAATAATATATTTTTATTTAATAATACTTATATATTATTTATGTTACCAAAATTTACTTTAGTTTTATTTTAGAAACTATTTTTAATAATTATTAAAATATTAAAATTAATAATTTTTAATAATTAAAATTATAAATAAATACTATTAATTTTTTAATGTTTTTTTATTAATTTTAGTTAAATTTATTTATTATTTTTATTTTATAATAACATATATAAAAAAAAATGTTTTCATTTTATCATCTTATTATGCAAAGAAAAGAAAATTTCTAATTAAAAATTGAAAAAATTAAAGTAGATAATTAAATTTAGCCAGAAACACCAAAAATAGAATATATTTTTTAAACAACTTAATTATAAAATAAAAAAGTAAAATATATTATAGATTTTTAATATAAAAAAATAGTTAAAAGCAAATTCATTAACCAAATACGCAATATTTATTTTAGGTATAGCTGGAGCAATGTAAATTTTAATTTATTTGTATTTAAGCTTTATTTTAAAAAATAAGAGTATCTTTTTATTTCCTATACAATTTCAGAAAAAAAAAAATGGATATACATAATTAAAAATAAGTAAAAGCAAATTTATTACAAAGAATTAATTAAAACTAAGAATAAAAGCACGTTTTTACTTAAAATAAAGTTGATTTGTTAGAATTAAGAGACATTGCTAATCTTTTATAATTATCTATCAATTATATAGATTACAATTTTATTGATTTTATTTTGAAATGCCGACAAGGTATTGTATTATTTTATTTTAATGAAAAAAATCACAAAATATAGAAAGAAGATAGATAAGAAAAAAAAATTAAGATTAATATAATGAAATTGTTATTAAATATAATTAAAGTATTGAAAAGATGCTTTAGGAATCGATATTTTAAGTGTTAAAATAATAAAATGTTAGCCTAATTTAATATGAAAGTAGTCTTTAATATTTTATTTAAAATGGTTCTTATAATTATATTTATACACTTAAAATAAATTAAAGACAAAAGGCGATGTTTAAAATTTATATATTATTTTATTTGGTTTATTATTTAATATTATAAATAGTGAATTACTTTAAAAAAATAAAAAGCAACTTTAATTAGATACAATAAAAATTATAATTAGATTTTAAATATATTACTTAAAAAACAAATAAAACTTATTTTAAAATATTATAAATAAAATAAAGGTATATTTCATTTTATTTTATATTTTCATATTTTTTTCAAAGAATAATCCTTCATAGTATAACTTAATTCCTTAAATAATAAATACTTTAATTTAAGATATGATTTTTGATAAGTTTAAAATTGAAGAGGAAGATTAAGTTTTTACTTTATCTAATCCATGTATAATTTATTAATATATATTTTGTTTTTATTTATTTAATTAAATTTAGAAATATAAAATGATAATGAAATTATCAATATGTTTTAACAGATAGAAGAAGCTATGTTAAATTTAATGAAAAATGTAGGCTTAACTAATTAAAATTGATAAAAATAAATATTAAATTATAAATTATAGAGCAAAATAAACTATTTTAAATAATAATATAATAGAATTTAAAAAATTAATAAAAACTTAATATTATTTATAAAAATTTTATTTAAAAAATAAATATTTATAATTATAATAATTATAAATAAATATTATTAAAGATATGATTAAATACTATATATAAAATCATTAATCACTTAAGCATACCAAATTTATTTACTAACAGCAGTTTATGCTTAAGTAGTAAATTCACTATTTTATAAATCATTATTGTCATTAGAATCTTGCAACATCTCATTGATTTTCTCATAGCAGAAAACTTATTAATCTTAACAGCTTAGGAAATTTTTCGAAGTACAATGCATAAAATAAAATAATTAATTTTCATAAAAACAAGTATCTTAAAATTCTAAAGGTTAGATTGACCAAGTTTGGTTTTCTATTAACTGATTTTATTATCCGCAAGAAACCACTAATTTATGCTAAAAATCTTCTTCCGATCTTTAAATTACAATATTAGAAAGTTGCAAAAAATATTAAATAGGATTATGTTAAAGTAATATCTTTTAACAATTTTATACAAAATCCTTGCTGTCATTTTAAAAAGGTAACATTTTCCATTCATAATAAATCGAATTTTCTTCTATATTATTATCAAGTTTTAGTTATTATTTAATCTTTAATATTTCGAATATAATAACTGTTTTTTATCAAGGTATTTTATTATAATCTTATTCCCATATTTTATTTTTTTGCCCTTTTTTATTTAACTTAAAATTTCTAATATTTCTTGTATTTCATTGTCGTTTTTGTAATGTTTATTTATAGATATATTAAATGAAACCCAGTTTTAATTTATGGAATAAATGCTATCATTTATTGTTGCGAACGAACGTTCTTTTATTGTATATATTTTTTTTAGATCATTAAATTTATCTTTATTTTGTATTTTTTATGTCTTATGATTTGCAACAACAAACATAATTATTATTTTCTTAATCATTTTTTATGCATATTTGACCCATTTTTTATATTTGTTATTGTTTATATAAATATTAATTTATTTTTTTACATCATAAATATAAAATATAACTAAAAATAATTTTTTTATGGATTATTATTAAATGTATTTTTATTCAACTATTTTTTAATTTATTAAATATAATTAATAAATTAAGATTTTATTTATTTAAATGGATATAAATAATTTTGTTTTATTTATTTAATAATTTAAATAAGAATATTAAATAGAATTTATGCTATAAATTTATCCTATATTCAAAATAAATGTTGTGATTCGACTTAAACTTTGATTTTAGTGTAATTTTATTATCAAAAACGTTATTTTTAAAATACAAAAAAAGCAATTTAATTGATAACTGATAACTTTGTACATTTAAAATTAACTATACCAAAAATTAATTTAATCTAACAACTTTATTATTAAAAAAATAACGAATAATATTAAAATAAAAAATTAAATTATAGTTTCAAAGAAATTTATGTTTTTTATTGTTTTTAATAATATTTTATAATAAAATATAATAAATAATGAATAGTAATTAAAATAATTCAATTTTTGAATAAAGACAACAGGATATGACCATAAACGATACAACAATTGTAAAATTAAATTATGAAGAAACACAAGAAAATGAATTAAAACCACAAATAGAATAATATTAAGGCGCAATATAAATAAAGCAGCCAATCGAATAATTAAAATCAGTTGATAATTTAGATAAACCTAATAATAAAAATGTATTGAAATAAAAAATTTCATTAAAAAATTCTGAAAAGAAAAAAGAAAAGATTTCTTAAAGTTTAAGAAAAAATTAAGAATTAGAGGAAGAGTAAGATGAAGATGAAGATAATGTTGATTTCGACAATTATTTTTAGGAAGATTCATTTAGTAAATTAAAAGGTTATAAAACAGTAATAAGTTAAAAAGAAATAAAATTTTCAGACAGAAAAAAAACTTAAAAAAGAAAAATGCAAGAAGAATTTGAAAAAAAAATATTTATTGAAGATAGCGATTTAAATGATCCTCCGAAAGATATAATATTTAATTTTTACTAATTTGGAATTATGATATTTTATCATTTAGTTTTCTATTTTTTGGGCCCTATTGGCCTTTTGATAATAAAACTAATGAATATGAAGGAAAAGAGAGACTTCAATATAGCCCGAAATATGGCTTTTTGGGGTTGGAATCCTTTAAGCTAATTTGAATACACGATTTCAGCTTTAGGAACTGCTTTTACGGTTGTATTTCTATACAGTTACAAGACTTTATCTATATAATATTATTATGAAATTTTTTCTATTTTTTTCTCTTGATTTCTAAAGGTGCTCTTTTATGTTTCAAATATGGTTTAATGCACCCTTCTAAATTCCAAATTTATAAAAAAAAATAATTATCATATGATTAATTATTTTTAGAATATATTCTTATGGATTGGTTTGAACAAAAAGAATACGTGATTAAATAGTAAATTTATGTTTCTTCATAAAGACAAGAAGTTGAAGAATGCCTTTTTTATATGGATTTCGCGGAACCTTTATCTTAAGAAGCTCTTGATTTGTTATCTAATAATGAGGCTCCAAATATTAATCTGAGGGGAAAGAAAAAAAGTTTGAAAGAGTTCGCTTATGGGCCTAAAGTAATTAAATATTTGGCACTTTTATACATCGAGTTTTACCCAAGGGCTAAAGGTTTAACTTTTTGTTTCTGCTTTGGGAGTTTGAAGAGCATATTCTTTTGCGCGCTCAAAATGAATGACTCTTTGTATTAATAAGATGGATTATTGGTGTATTATGTTGTTAATATTGGATCATTTACTTTGGAATGGATTAATTCAAATTTATTTTTGCTATTTGTTTTACTTTGCTATAGGGATTTGAAAAGAATTGTTTTTTATTCTTAGCAATTAGCCACGATGATCAAAGGAGAAAAACCTTTGGATTATAAAGAAGGGAATAGTCTTTTTTAAACTATCGACTTATCATGTCATTTGACGGTTTTGAACTGGTTTCATTTAAGATAATTAGCAGTTAATTATGGAATTAAGTATATTAGAAGGACAGAGTGTATGCTTTCTTATTTTTTGTTTTTTTGTGGCACTAAATTTTTGTTCTTTGCTGGGATTATTTTCTAGTTTATTAAATTGAAGGAAGTTCCTGCAGTCTAATATAATGTCTATGAATGTGGAGTTTGGCTTATGTTTGTTACGATAGCTATTAAAGATGGAGCAAATATTAATAATAGTGCGAATATACATTAAGAATTGTTGATTAGGAATATTTAGATATTGGAAGATATTAAAGCCAATTATGGGTATTTGCTAAAAATAAAAGATAACTTATAAAACCCTATTTAGAAATATTTAATGAATTATTACTCGGATGCTGATTTTGAAACAATGGATGACCGAAATTAGCATATTTAAGATAATATTGATTAGGTTATTAATGGAATTGAATTTATTAATTTTGAAAATAAATATAGGCCATTTAAAATTTTTGGGTAAACAATAACGACGGATTTTTATTCAAATTTATTACTATCTATTTTGGGAGTTGCTGTGTCTACATTTATGAAAAAAAATGTTTTAAAAGTGGATGATTGAGAATTAATTATATAATGTTAGAAAAAATTAAGTAACATTAAGATAATAATATTGGAATATACAACTTTAAAAATATATATTATAATTAATATTTTTTAAAATACTGATATATTATTTAAATATATAATTAGATTTAAAATAACAAAAAAAAACCAATTAATTAAAACTTATATTTACTATATTAATATTATAGAACTTAATATTTATATATAATAATTATTATCTTATTATTTTTTATTAATTGATTTACTATACTTTTATTGATATCCTGTACTTTTATCTGTAACTAAATATTAATTTCTATTTAAATAGAATTAAAATAATGAGATTATTAATAAACTAAAAAATTATAATACACTAATTTTTTCATATTTTATTATGTATGTTAATAATTAAATAAAAAAAATAAAAGATAAAAATAAAAATAAAAATTAAAAAAATAAAATAAAATAAAATAAAAATTCATTATGAATAGGGTTTTGAATCAAAACTTTGATGAAATAGATACTGAATCTAGAATAATCATGTTTATTATTTTGGGATTATTTATTTCTTAATTTTCTAAAGAGTTAAACTCTCGATTAGGAATTCCATACACTCCTATATTAGTAGTTTTTGGAATGATTATAGGATCAATTGATTTTTATAAAGATGTGTTTGATAAAGTATTAGAAATAAATCCCCATGGTTTCTTAATGATATTTTTTCCTGTACTAATATTTAGCAGTTCTTTTAATGCTAATTTATAAGTATTTAATAAAAACAAATGGCAAATATTTTATTTAGCGGTACCTGGAGTAACATTAACAATTATTTTGCTAACACTAACCTTGAAATACGTAGAAGGATATGATGATGAAGAGCTCCCTTGGTCATGTGCAATGTTATTGGCTACATCTCTTTCTACTACTGATCCAGTAGCTGTAGTTGCTTTACTATAAGAATTAGGAGCACCTCTTCATTTAGAAGTCATTATAGAAATGGAATCTTTACTTAATGATGGAGTGGCTGTTGTTATTTTTAATATTGTATAAGATGTTGCTAGAGGAATCTAATTATAAATGGGGAGCTTGTTTAGTAGTTTGCTCTCTCTTTCTTTAGGCGGTTTAACTATGGGATTTGTTTTTGGAATAGGTTGCTTGCTTTTAATAAATTTTTTTAAGAAAAACATGGTAATGTTTATTAATTTAATATTTATATCTTCTTATTCCTTATTCTATGTCTGTGAAAAGCTTCGCCTAAATTTTAGTGGACTACTATCTCTTGCTTCTTTAGGTATAACATTAAATATGTTTATGAAAGATAAGCTTACAAATGATTAAAAGGAAAAACTATAAACAATTTTAAACTATGTTTAATTTGTTGTTGAATCTATTTTATTCTTTTATGCTGGACTTTTTATTGGATTAAAAATGTTTAAAAAAGAATTAGTACCTGTTATTAATTCTGGCGATTGGTGGAAAATGATTGTTTTCTATATATTTATGAATTTATCTAGGTTTATTATGATATTAACTTTTTACTGGTTTCTTAAAAGAACTGGAGATGGAATAACAATAAAAGAATATATTATTGCTTCTTGGGGTGGACTAAGAGGAACTTTATCTATAGCTTTAGCTTTAATTTTAAGTGAAGATAAATTATTGCCTTTAAGGGCTAGAAATTTGATTATGTTTAATTCTGTTTCTATGTCATGTTTAAGTCTTTTAATAAATGGCACTACATGCGAATTCGTTTTAAAAAAAATTAAAATTATTAAAAATAATTAATAGAAAAATACTTTTGAAATTTTTTTGTTGAAAGAAGTATAAAATTAATAAAATAATGTTGTAAAAGAACTTAAAAATAACTAATTTTACAATTTTGTTGAATGGATTGAAGTTGAAAACGATTTAAAAATTGAAGATGAATTACATAATAACAAAGTTTGTATTTAAGATGCAAAAAGCTATTAATATTAAAAAGCAGAAGCAAAATTTTTTACTTTAAGGTTATTTAATAAGACTCTAATGAAAATGAAAGAAAAAGAATGGATAAATAAGAATATTTATACCATTTTGCTTACTTCAAGTGAATTATAAATCGAAGATTGCTTTAAAGATATAGATTTATGGAGTTTTATTAAATAGCAAATGCCTAACATGTAAGTAATAAAATTTTTAAAAAAATATAAATCATTAAGATTTATTGGAGTCTTTATAAATATGTATATTTTACATAAATTGAGTTTTGTTTAAGAAATAACTTATGTATTCTGTATCTGTTTAAAAAGCCTAATTTAGAAAGATTCAGAGTTAGATAATATAATGAAAAAATAAAATATCGATTAAAATATTGTATAAAAAATAAAATAATAATTATTTCAGAATTCTGAAAGTTGTAATAATAATTTTGATTTTTTATAATTAGAATATTGGGAGGCTTTTGATAAACTTTAATAAAAAAAAGCAGTTATAAATGTTCTTATGAATCAAATAAAATATATCAATGATTAAATCGAAATGGAATTTGTGCCTTAAGCTTAAGGTTCGCATATATAGGCTTAATTGGTGAGAAAATTACAATATATTTCATCTTTTTAATATTTATAAAAATAAACATTTAATAAAGATTTTATATTATTAGTAAAACTAAAGACCTTTTTCGACAAACAATAATATAAAGAATTTAGCAAATAATTTATAAGAGAAATTTACCATAAAGATTAATATTTAGTAAATACTAATGAATAGGCAAAATTCATTTACGTAATTTCTTCAGGTAAACTATCTCAGTAACTATTTTGTCAAAAAGCTTTACTTAACAAATTAGAACATTAAAAAACAATTAACTAAGAGGAAAAACATTTAATTTCTTAAGATTATTATGGATACGAAACTAAGTAAAAAATTATTGGAACAAATATTTTAGATATAGAAAACAATAAAAAGGAAAGAATTATTTATAAAAATAATTTAGGGCTATAATTTGGAGATTTAAACGAATAATCTATAGAAATAATAAGAGGAGAAGGAAATTTGGTTGGATTAATTGATTTAATTGTTGAAAGTGAACATTATATGGCATTGTCTAATATTAAAGCTTAAGAATTAAGTATTTGTGAAAAAATACCTATTTAATAATTTAAAAAATATTTTTAGGAAAATAATAGACTTTAAGAGTATTGCTATAAAAAAATGCTTTTTAATGTTCTTTATATATATGAAAGGTAGAATTAACTTATTTAAGGAATGACTATTGAGCAAATATTATAGCTTAGTAAAAGCTCTTAATTTTTGAAGCTGAAAGGATTAAAAGAAACTTAGGAAAATGAAAAAGTTAATTGTATCGAAGGTGGATTTATTTTTAAGGGAGAATTATAAAGTCAGGATAATTAAATAGTTTACAAATAATTATAAATTATTCCTAGAAATTAAATTGGATTATTACCCGTAAAAGAAACAATTTTACTTCTATTTTAATTTGATTAAAGAACAAAAGTAACTTTTATGGAAATGACTTAAAAAAATCAAAAAATTTGATTTATTAAATATTGTTTAAAATAAACAAAATTTGATAATAATATTTTATTTTTCAAATAAAAATATATTTTTAGTTATTCATAATCATTTAATTTAAATTATGATTAAAATTAATTAAATCTTAAAATTTTTTTAAAAAATTTTAAATTAAAATTAATTTTTTTTTAAATACATTATTATGTAAATAACATTTTTTTATAAATTATAATATTTATATAATATTAGTGTCTAAAAACTTTTAAATTAAACTATTATTTAAATCTCACTTAAAATAAAAAAAAATATATAGATTAATAAACATAAGTTAATCAAAATTATAGAATTATATAAGTTATGATTTATTTTTTAGATAAAAAACTTTAAAAATATTGATATTTATATTAAATAAATATAAAAACTATATAATGTCATTTATTAGATTATAACTTTATTTGATCTTTAATTTTTATTATTAAATATTATTTTTATTTATTATATTTTTTAATATGTTTTTATATAAATTAAGTTATATAAAATTATAACTTTTTATTTTTAATTTATCTTATAAATAAATATTTTTTAAAAAACTAATACATTCAAGAATATAAAATAAAATGATAAAAAATCTTAATTTTTCAATATTTTTAAGAAAAATTATTAATATAATTATTTAATTTTTACCAAAAATTATATTATTGTGCTTGATTTTATTATTGAAAAGAAAATTAAAAATATAATCTTTTCATTAATATGACTAAAAAATAAATATAAATATTAATAATAGTTTAAAGTCTTTAAACAAAGAAAAAATAAATTTATTATTTATGCATTTACTATTAAATTATTATTAATATTTTAATTCCATTTTATTATATTTATAAATATTTTTAATTTATTATTTTTTTTTTAGATATTTTTTTTTATGATATTTTATTTTGGTTTGTATTTTTTTTTATTTTTTTAAAAATAAATAATAAAAAATCAATAATGAATGATCTTTTTTATTTTTTATTTAAGTGTTAAAAAAATTACAAAAAATTAGCAAGTACTATTACTATTTAAATTTATTTAATTTTTAGCATAGTTTTATTCCTACTTTTTATAAATATTTATATATTAAAAGTAGCAATTGATTCTAGAGAAATCATAAAAAATTATTTAGGAGATATATAAATAAAATCATACTATTATAAAAAAATTGTCTATATTATTAAAAATGTATAATTAAAATAAATAAAAATAATTTTAATTTATTATAATTTATATATATATGTTTAAAAATATTATAATATTTTGAAAATAGAAAATAAATATTAATATTTTTATATTTTAATTATTCTTTTACATTTTAATATTTAATTAATAATTAAAAATATATCCATATAAAAAAATAATGAATTATTAATAATATTCATAACAATAGTTTCTATATTAGTAATAACCTTGTCCTGGATTCTAGTAACCTTTTAACTATTAACCTTAGCAGTTTCAACCTGGAACATATAACGGTAACAATAGTTTATATTCAAATACATCAGATGCTGTAATAATAAAACTAAAATAAGCACTATAATATTACAATATTAATTTGGCTTAACTTTTTATGTAATATGATTAAGACAGGTAAAACACATTAAATTACAATGAATTTGGGCTTTTACTTTAAAAAATGGATCCTACAATTACAGCTAATGATATATATACTGTTTTTGCAAGATTTGATACTTCTCGTTCTGGATCTATATGTTTTTAAGAATTCAATAATGCATTAAACTAATTTTAAATACCTCCGAATTATTAATTTTAATATTAACCTCATTAACCTATTGTTCCTTAATAGGTGGTTTATTAATATTAATAATATTTATAATAACCTTATACTTTTAACCCTTAATAGGTAAATTCAATAATTTATAAGTTAATTAATGCTATTCAATTTTATAAAATTAATATAACTCAATTGTTCTAAAGTTATGATTAAAATTAAAGCTAAGTTTTGGATATGACTGAATTTTGTTAGTTATTACTTAAAATCGAACCTAATCTATCATAAATTGATTTAATAATGTGCTTCTAAAGATTTGATTAGGATAGAAGTGGAACCATTACTTTCTATGAATTCTAATCTGTCCTTAATAGTGCTATGTAGTAATATACTTTTCCTGGATTTAATTATTAAGCTTATTATTGAAAAAAATAATATATATAAATATATATATATATATATATATATAATTTGTTATAAAAATACAATTTATATTTTAATAACATTTTCAAAAAAAATAAACTATTTTAAATAATAAATTAAAAACTATATAATTTTAAAAATTCATTGTATTATAAAATATAAATAAAATATTATTTTTATAAATTTATGACATTTATATAATATATATATAGTAATTATAATTTATAATTAATAAAATATACCTTAATACATTTTTATAATATTAATTTTTAAATTTAAAGAAATAATTTTAAACTTAAAAAATAAATTTGTTAAAATATATATAAAATTTTATTAAATTAAAAATTTAAATATTCAAAATTAAAAAAAAATGATTGTATATGGAAAAAAATAATATTATATATTAATAACTTTTAAAAAATAAAAAAATGCAATAAATAATTTAA